ACTAAGAAAGGTAGAATAGAGCTTTATTTTTCAATTCTGATTAACTCCCAATAACGATTTACCAAAATATGAACTACTAATGATCTGTGATTTTCAAACTTTATTTTCTCTTAGCGCAATGTTCGTAAATCTAAGTAAGCAGAAAATATCCCTTTTCCTCCTTCAGCAAAGTTCCCTGTGTAGGTTGTAATGCTTGTCAGGATTACTATGTTCTGGCGCATATATGCTCTTTTCTGATGTAAACAAATCCAAAATTTTGCCAAGTGCCAGTTATGCAAACATGCCTTATATTTTACTAAATTTGTTAATATTAAACGTTCCTTATCCAAATGATTATAATATTTTTGTGTTGATAAGATATGCATTTGAGTCAGCATAATGACAGCAATTATCAACCAACAATAATTTGGGGTTATTGACTATTTTTTCAGTAACATTTGATAATATGTAATCTCTTAATAGTATTGATACAAGTTTATAGCAGAGTAATGAATGTATCTAATTAACTAAGAATAGCGGTTCTTTTAGCTTAGTTCTGCTGTTGTGAGATTAGTTTAGCAAATTTAAAATCATTATGAAAAAGATCCGTTTAATCTTTACACATAACTCCATGTCAGTAGTAATGTAATTATTTTAGTTTTTTTAAATCATTTACATGAGTAGCTTACCTGGATAGCCCTTAATTTTACACAGGAGGTATTTTTTAATATCTTAATTATATGTAAATTACCTTAAGTAAAGAGCTGTAAAATATGTCTTTCACTCATACTGAAAAATCTAAAAAATATGCATGTAAAAATGCTCTAATTTAAATTTTGTGTATTATGAAATTAATGTTTTTCACGTATTTTGTGTTATTTAAGTATATTATTGCATAATGTTGTCCATATATAGATGTGTATATGCATTACTGTATTTGTATGCAGGAAAATATTCTGATTTCATAGTAGTCCTTAAATCTGCATTTTAATTTAGTTTTATTCTTTTACTGTCTTTCAAGTAGTACAGTACAAAGTCCGTAATCCGGACTCGTCGGGACTTCAGCGATTCCGGATTAAGGTTTTTTTCATATTATAGATCATCAGTTTAAATCTGGTAAGATGGCATGCAGAAATTATACTATTAAAAATATGAAACCATAATTTATGAAATAAAAAGCAATTATGATCTAAAGGGTATCAAATTTTACAAAAACAAAAAGCTTAATATTTATTTGTTTACTTCATTAAACATTTCTTTCAATGTGTGCATGCGTAAAGCTTATGCGCATAATGTATAAGCATTCTCTATGCGCATGCGTAAAGTTTGGGGCTTTGAGGTCCAGATTATAGATCATTCCGGATAATGGACGTCCGGATTACAGACTTTGTATTGTAATATGTGCATGGTAAATATTTCTGAAGTGCATCTTTAAAAATGAATTCTTGTTTTCTAATTACAGTAGAGTCCTGCAAACTCGATATAATATGTACTGAGAGACTGTAGAGTTTTGCGGAATAAAGGGTTGGTTTTTCAGATATCTTTAATATTTAACCCTTTGATGCGTACGATTTATAATATTTTAACTAAAAAACTAGAAATCAAATATTATAGTCCTAGAAACAATATATGAATTTTAAAATCTACTCTTGCCCATTGATCTGTAGGTGGCGGTCACACTGTTTTCTTTTCTTTCGAACGACATTTCCACTTCACAGAATATCAAAAGTTGCCAAAAATATGCAACACTTATACGCATGGATGTGAGCTTAGGAACGACACCCTGCAATGAATTGGTGTGAGTTTAATTTGCAATAAGATGCAGCACAAAACTTCAGGCAAGTCTCCTAATGTTTTGCGACAATATAGAAGAATGAGAGCCAGCGGCCAGCACTCCTGATTACTACCTACTTTCGTATCCTTGAAAGAAGCAAACAGCATTGCCAAGTATTACAACATATCTGGAAATTTGTTAGGCAGTTTCAAGAATTAGAATGCGAAAATGGCAGAAATTGCGGGAAAAGGACACTCAAATCTTTGAACAGAGCAGGAAAGACATGTGCATAATTAATAATTATATGTACTGTATGTAATATTTGCTCTGTTTGGCCTAGAGATATCTTAAAGTTGTCGAGTTATACAGAATGTCTAAATTTCCAGGTGTTGAGTTTGCGGGAGTCTACTGTATGCGATTCTTATGTAATGCTACTGATGTAGGAACTTGCATAAACTAAAAAAAAAATCCTTTAGCAACCAAACCAATATAAATAAAGTGGTTCTTTAACCAAATGTCAAAGCATCCCTTGAATATCTGTAATTTTTCTTTAGTTCAGTGTTTTTTTATTTGACAAATGTACTGTATTATTACTGAGAAAAATGCACATCATTTTTACTGTGATATTACGAAAATTTTAAGTATCTATGGTGAAAAAATATCTCTTATTTAGTTGAAAATTTTATAGTTTGCATGATAAAAAAAAAATATGTACATTTATTTAAGTAAAACATGCTTTCTTTATAAAAATATCATTTAGTAGATATTGAGGTGGATGTAGCAAAAAAGGACTATAATAGTGGTACTAAGAGGCATGCAGATTTATTCCACATATTTCTATAATTTAGATGTCTCCAGCCCTCCAATATAAGCTGCGATAGTTTAAACCACTTATGTTTTGTAGGCATGAAATTTAAATGTTATGTTATAAACATACTACAGAAAAAGTCTGAAATCCGGACTCGTCGGGACTTTGGCGATTGTAATCTTTTGGTCTATGAAGTAATGAAGTATTTATGATCTACAGGGTATAAAAATTTACAAAAAAAAAAAAAAAAAAAGCTTAATATTTATTTGTTTACCTTATTAAACATTTCTTTCAACGTAAGTTATTTAAGTTGCTTCATTTTTTGTGCTAATAATTTTTCTATTATAAACTAGGAGAAGAAAATTTGTTCATTGGAAGTTGATGTGGTCACTTGAAGCCAATATTTTTTTCAAATTTCGCATATTTTTATCGTACAGATCGGATAACTGTCTAATTCGATCCTTTGATCAATTCATCTTTGTCGGTTCGTTTCTATCCACTTATGAATGTTATTAGTCAACTCTATTTGCAGGAAATAAACTGGGACACTTATGCAGGTTTAACAATAATATGAGCTATATTTTAATTTTGTAAATACAGTTTAACTTTTCACAAAGTATTGCTTTTATTCACATTTACATCAAACGCACAAGTAATACATTGCATCTCTCAGCTCTTAACAAAAAAAAAAAAAAAAAAAAAAAGCTAACTTTTCTCTCGGAATACAGCCAAACTCATTTCAAATTTTTTTTCACGAGCACGCCGTCCTTCTCGCATCAAGCACGTTTTTTCTTCTCGTTGCCAGATATTTTTCCCTCTCCTTTCAGATAAACTGGTTTTTTCACACGAGCATGCCGTCCTTCTCGCATCAAGCACGCTTCTTCTTTCGTTGCCAGATTTTTTCTCCTCTCTCCTTTCAGCTATAAGTCGTTGGCTTTCTGTTCTTCCGGCAGGTTTGGTCGGTAGCATCCCCTTAGAGTATGTGCATGACACGCCCCTGCCAAGAATGAAATTTGTCCTTTCTTTGGGACGTATTTCATTAATCAATATCCAAGCAAATTTTCTGTACATTACTTTTACACAATACCAACCTCGTACAGTATTAAATAAAACAAAACAGAACAAGCAATAAATAAATTATTACAATCATACAAATAAACAAAAAAAAAAAAAACAATCAAATTATATTAATCATATCATATTTGATCCAGACGTGAGAGTGCATCTGCACTTTGGTGCTGGATCCCTGGCCTATGACTAATCCGTAAGTTCCATTTCTGCAATGCCAGAGCCCACCTCGTCAATTTGGGACTTCGAGGAGTAGTTTCATTCAAATATCTGAGAGGGTTGTGATCCGTTATAATTTCTACCTGAGCCCCATAGATCCATTTATCAAATTTATTCAGGCCAAATAAGACTGCCCAAGCTTCCTTCTCAATGCTTGCCCAATTTCTCTGAGTTTGAGAAAGCTTTTGACTTGCAAATGCAATAGGACAATAGTTACCACTCTCGTCTATCTGGGTTAAACAGCAACCTACCGCCAAATTGGATGCATCACAATGGATCTGAAATGGCTTTCCTATATTTGGTGTGGCCAGAGATGTCACTTGGCACAAAGTATCCTTTAATTTGTTAAAAGCATTCTGTTCCAACTCCCCCCATAGAACAATATTGGCTTGCCTCTTCTTCGTCAACTCTGTCAATGGTGCCGATATTTCTGCGTAACTGGGAATATAAGATCGATAAAATCCCATTAATCCTAAAACCGATCTCACATCTTTTTTTGTGACTGGCCTGAAGAGTTTGATCTAATCCTGATCTCACATCTTTTTTGTGACTGGCCTGACGAGTTTTCTAATTGCTTTGACCCTTTCTTCATCAGGACCATGCTTGCCTCCTCCAATTATATGCCCCAAATATTTGATTTTTTTAGCTGCAAAAGTACATTTGTCCAAACGTACAGAAAATCCTAATTTTTCTAAAGTAAAGTTTCCAGAACCAGAGAAATGTGTTTCAAGTGTTCCTCAAATGTTTTCGAGAAAATCACCACGTCATCTATATATGCCTGAGCATAATCACTATGACTCTGCAAAGCACAATTCATTTCCTTCTGGAATGTCCCTGAGACTCCTGATAAGCCGAAAGGCATTGTTCTCCACTGGTACACTCCATTACATGTTGCAAATGCAGTCAAAGGTTTGCTCTTTTCATCCATTCGGATTTGCCAATAACCTTTTCGAAGGTCGATGCTTGCAAAAATCAATTCCTGCATGTCTTTCATGGAAAATGTTGGAGATTTCGTTACAGCATTCAATGATCTAAAATCTATACATATTCTAACTGTAGCATCTTTTTTCGCCACACAAACTATAGGATGAGCAATTTCTGACTCAGAAGGTTCAATTAATCCTAATTCTAGCAACTCACGTATCTGCTCATCTACTGCTTTGCGGTATGCCATGGGTATTCCATAGCAGTGGGGTTTCTTCCTAATAGCAGTAGGAATAAGTTCGATCTTGTGTGTGTACCTACTCGTGCTGGTTGCACTGGACGTGTAAATAATGTTTGATATTTCCTCAGTAGCCCTAAAAGTTTACTCCTTTGGACTGAATCTAAATTAGACATTTCTAATCCTTCCAGAGATTCAGAAAAACTCTTTTCTCCCTTGTTGACAGGTATAGATTCAATTTCCCCAAACTCTTCTTCCCCCTCCAAGATAACATTTACTGCTTGGGATCTAACTACATAAGGTCTAATCTTATTCTGATGGACATGTCTTTTGGTCCCATCGGGCATTTGTACTACAAATGAGTGAGAACTTCTCTGTTCCAATATATTTGCAGGACCCTGCCACCTAGCATAAAGCTTGTTATTAGAATCGGGAATCAAGACTATCACCTTATCTCCCACCTTAAATGTTTTTATGGTAGACCTTAAATTATGATAGTGTGCTGTCCTCTCTTGTTGAATTTTAGCTGTGAGCTTTGCCTGCTCCGCTGCCTTCTCAAACCTAGCCTTTAGATTTTGTAAATATGTATAAACAGGAGTTGCATCTAATTGTAAATTTTCATGTTTCCCTGTCCATGATGATTTTAATATCGACAGAGGTCCCTGAGGTGTCCTGCCGTACATGAGTTGAAATGGAGCCACCCCAGTTGTTGAGTTGGGTACTTCTCTATAGGCCCACAACACATAAGGAATTTGCAAATGCCACCCTCTACCTTCTTCTCTGATGACATGATGCAACATTCTTTTTAAAGTACCATTAAACCGTTCAACTAATCCATTAGCTTGAGGATATCCAGGGGTCGAAAACTTAGGACTGGCCCCTATTCGTCTCTCAAATTCTTGAGTCAAATCTGCTTTAAAATTTGTTCCATTGTCACATGCAATTACATTTGGAATACCCGTTCTTGAAAAAATATGTAATAACTCCTCACAAGTCGACTTGGCGGAGAGGCTAGTTAGAGGTATTGCTTCTGCCCATCTGGTATGCTGATCAACTAAGCATAATATATACTTATGACCCTTAGAACTGGGAGGATCAATCGGACCTATCACATCAATGTTTACAATTTGGAAGGGCAGATCTGGCCTCGTTACTGGGGTGATTGGTGTCCTATCAACAGTTTTAATTGGTCTAGTCAACTGGCACTCTTTACATGCCTCGCAAAATTTCTGAACGTCTAACCTCAGACCTTCCCAATAAAAAGAGTATCTAATTCTCTCCACAGTTTTCTTTACCCCCATGTGGCCACTAAACACCGAGCAATGTGCTAACTGCAAGACTTCCTCCCTTCGACTCTTAGGTACAACTAATTGCCCCACACTTTCCCCAAGAATTTTGTCCTTATGAAAGAGAAAGTTATCCACTGTATAATAATTCCCCTTTCCTTTCTGAGCATTCTCCCATGCTCCTACCAGAGATTCACAAGTCTCCTGCTCTCTTCTAAATACATCCGCTGTACATAGTCTTCCTGGCTGAGGTTCTTGGCTTTCACTTGATTCCACCTTCCCTTTCTCATTGAGATTCCTTCCCATACTAGCGTTTCCTTCTAGTTTCCCTGTGTTTACCTTCACAGACTTTTCCTTTCTCCTAACCTCTGGGATGTTTGTGGTTTCTTCAGGTAAGTTTTCCACCCCTTCACCTGTGTCATATAACCGACCTCCTAACATGGTGAATACTTCCGGAGGAAGCAACACATCCTCTGCCAGCGATTCTGCAACTGCACACAAAATCTCTTGATGTGTAACATTGGCACTTTCTCCTACAGTAATACTCAGTGGAATGCTTACCAAAGGGCATTTAACAGCTGGACCAAATATACCTTTCAAATATATACTCGATCCTTCCTTCAGTTGGAGACTTTTGGTTAACTCTTTCTTAACCACCGTAATTTCTGTTCCTGAATCAACGAGGGCCTTCCCTATTGTTCCATTCACACTAATAGGAACCCTTTTCAACTCACACAGCTTATAGTCGTTTACATCCCCTGACTTCCTCAAAGGATCCACACGAGCTACCACAACTTTGTCCTCTAGGTTATCATTATCCTGATCTTTCTTTACCCAGTTTACCCTGGCTTTATCCTTTTCCTCATTTCTGTTATACTGCCTAGAACCTTTAATCTGAGGACAGTGCCTTTTAAAATGTGAAGCTGAACCACATCCAAAACATGTTAAACCTTTAACGTTCCCTATGGTTTCTGACGTATGCCGACTGCCTCGTCTTTCTTCGACCTTAGGTTTCTCACCTACTGCCTGATTTAAAATCTTAGTTTCACAAGCTTCCCTACGTACGTTGTAGGACTTCCCTTTAGCCGCAAAGAATATGTCACACTCCTTTCCAAGCTCTCTTGGCTTGAACCACGAGTCTCCCTGCCTTATACCTATGTGTACTGCAGTTTCCGTATCAAGGGTCTGGTAGATTTTGTCCGCTACCACCAACTGATTAAGACCTTCAAAGTCTGTCACCCCCCTTGATTTCACATAATTTTCCCACATGGCAGTAACTCTAGTAGAAAACTGGCCAAAGGTCTCTTCTGAACTTCGTCTTGCCTTTCTGAAATTCTCCAGGCATACCTGAGGTGAAGGTTTAAATTCTTTCAACACAGTTTCCTTTATTTCCTCATAATTCCCATACTTATCCTCGCTTATCAATGTTAATAAATTTGCCGCTTTATCTCCCAAAAGGTAAATCAAAATTTTGGCCTTATGCTACTCATCAGGGACACTTTCATTGACATAAGCTCTTTCTAAACTGGAGAAGAAATAGTCCCAGCCATCTGCTTTACTTGGAACCTTTACTGTCAATAATCTGATTGTCCTCGTTAACTCTTCTACTGATCTTTCCTTCCCATTCTCCCCCCGTTCGGGTGTAGTACTCCTATTCGAGTAACGATCCTGGCAATCTACCTTATACTTCTCAATGGCAATCCTCTCCTCTGCCCTAACTTTTATTCCTTTGCCTCCCTATCTGTAATGATAACACTCAGAAGATCCTTTGCTACCTGCTCCTCATAGCTTTCACTAGCAAGAATCTTTTCCCTCAAGTCCAAAATCCTAAATGTAGGCAAGGCAACACTTCAACACCAAACTCTTGTGCAAGGGCGACTAGATCAGCCTTTCTAGATTTGGCCAAAAATGACATTATGCGACTTTATGTTCAACTTAATTAAAATAACAGAAAATTAAAACTAAATTTCCTTACATAAAATTATACATTAAGTTAAATCCTTAACTTGCTGTTGAATCATAAACACATAGTATCTGCATTAAATATGCACAACATCCAAATACTCAATAAATAAAAAAAACATGTATGTTTATATATAAGCATTTGAAAATTAATGCAATCATATCTCATAAATAAAACACAAGCATTACTTAAATTAATGATCATTCACTCATATAATAAAAGATAAATGCACTTGCAAGGTAATTCAAGTCTCATATGATAATAACACTGATAATTTTTGTCTTATAAAATACTTGTTCAAGTGTACCTTTACATTAACAGCAAATTTTTCATAAACACAAAAAAAACATAAATAAATCACTTAACGAGAGAACCTGGTAGAAGATAACTATTCCACTTAATAAGCTTCGCAGCATTCGTAAGGAATTCACTTGAGCTTTTTCCGAGTCGACAAATATACATCCGACCAGCTGCCACCACTGTCATATAATCGATCCTTTGATCAATTCATCTTTGTCGGTTCGTTTCTATCCACTTATGAATGTTATTAGTCAACTCTATTTGCAGGAAATAAACTGGGACACTTATGCAGGTTTAACAATAACATGAGCTATATTTTAATTTTGTAAATACAGTTTAACTTTTCACAAAGTATTGCTTTTATTCACATTTACATCAAACGCACAAGTAATACATTGCATCTCTCAGCTCTTAACAACAAAAAAAAAAAAAAAAAAAAAAAAAAAAGCTAACTCTACTCTCGGAATACAGCCAAACTAATTTCAAATTTTTTTCTCACGAGCATGCCGTTCTTCTCGCATCAAGCACGTTTCTTCTTCTCGTTGCCAGATTTTCCCTCTCCTTTCAGATAAACTGTTTTTTCACACGAGCATGCCGTCCTTCTCGCATCAAGCACGCTTCTTCTTTTCGTTGCCAGATTTTCTTCTCTCTCCTTTCAGCTATAAGTCGTTGGCTTTCAGCTATAAGTCTGTTCTTCCGGCAGATTTGGTCGGTAGCATAGAGTATGTGCATGACACGTAATACCCGCGATACCGTATAAGTCCACCCGCCCCATCGAATAAAAAATTGTAGAAATAAGAACCGTGTAAATCGACGCCGACTTCCGAACGGAAACTTCGAAAAATTTTAAGTACTACTTTATTCAAAATCATCTGAGAAAAAAAAGTAAATATACGATAAAAAATACCTTGGTAAATAAACAAAATCAAAATCCTTCTTCTAGAATTTGTTCCGGAAAAGATTCGCGTACGTAAAATCTATCTGCATTTTCCCCTTTTTAAAAGTTAAAAGAAATATTCAAAACTGTTCAGTTATTGCGTAGGCTATTTTTTTAAATTTTGACGTGTACGCCTGTTAACAAAAGTATTTCATGAATGAACAATAACTATTATAAAGACTTATACGTACGTTTTATCGAAACTTACTCTAGTTAAAGTATGAAACTCTGTGATTAGTTCGTCACATAATTTAAGTCATGAAATTACTTCAAGTAAGTTACTTATTTGATAAGTCGTCCAATTTGAGTGCGGGAAGAAAACAACTGCATTATATAAAGAAATTTTTGAACTTCCGATTCTTTTAATTTTTTATGGCCCCGCGTATAAGTCGACCCCCCCCCCCACTTTGAAGTCTTTTTTTTTTGTCCAAAATATCTCGACTTATACGCGGGTGTATACGGTAATTATTTTTCTATGTTTTTCTCTATCACAAGTTATAAAGTATTTCTTCCGCCTTCTTAGCAAGCGTTCGTAGTGTAGTGGTCAGCACACTGGGCGCGTATTCCAGAGGTCCGTGGTTCGATTCCCGGCGAAAGTGTTGCTTTTTTTTTCACATCTCCGGCTTCCAAAAAATACCTAATGTCTCTACAAAGTTAAGCATTATGCTTCCATAAGCAAATTTCTCTGTATTTTAAGTGGAAAGTTTCAAAGTTAAATTAAAAGAACATTCTGTGAAAATTTAATGTCAGCTAGAGGGACTCAACAAATTAGAAAAAATTTTTATTATTATAAAACAACAATTTTTGAGAAAAAGTGTTAAAATTTATGCCTCACTGCTTTATGATGCTTTTCATTATGATTCCACACTTTATCTGAAGACGCGATACATATTTTTGGTGTTAACTGCAATGAAGAAAAATGAACGTAAATTTACGTACGTTTAAGGTAGCTATTATTTTTACTTCGGTACGAACACCTTTACTCGGAAGGTTTTCCTTACATTTTGAATATTAGTTCTGTGAAATAAAATTCTAGTTTTATCACCTTTCCATGTAAATGTTTTTAATTCATGTACAGTACACACAGCTTAATGTGAGCGTGGCTAATGTTATCATTCGGATATTATTATCGAATTGCCGACAACTCACACGTTTGTACAAAAAAAACATGGAAAATAATTTACTTATTGCTATCAACAACTCAGTTGATATTATCAAAGTATTAAAGAATATTTTTTAACTGAAATAAAGTCGCCAAAGTCAAAATAGACTATAAAAACTTCCAAGTATTAGAGAAATGTTGCCAAGTAAGGGGTTAAGTCGACAAACAACTTATTTTGGTTTTTAATCAACCATTTAAAATTACACAAAAACAAAATAAAAATTTTTTAAAAAAAACTTAGTTTGTCGTAGATTTTGAAGCTGAACAGACAGTCTTTCTTCTTTAGGAGCCAAAACACTTCTGTAGGATTTTTTCCCCCTAATTTAAAATTTTTCATTTGCGTGTTTTTTTCCAGTGAATCAGGGATGTCCTCCGAGTATTGAGTTTAGGTGTTATAGCATCAATCAGGTAATTTCCAGAAATGTTATAAACTGTTCATAAGCAATTTTTTGCATTTTCGTAATAAAACTCTGTGACAGTACTTATTTATATATTTATTTCTTGTTGTATTGATATGTTTCTTGTTGTTACATTAATCCAATGCTTTTTTGAAGGATGTGTTTTTGCTTATCATTTAATGTTATAAAAATAGCCGCAGATAAAGGTGATCACAATTAAGCGCCACCTGGTGTGTTTCGCTATTTAACTAGTTCATTTCAAAGAGTACATAATTTTTTTCTTATTTATGGGGTTCTTTTTTTATGCATTTGAAACGGGGTTAGGTTAGGTTATTTAATTACGGCAAAGCCTCGAGGGCTATCTGCCTAAGGGAAGGGATGCCTTCGTGGAGGACTTTCTAAGGGAAACTGTCTCGTACACACGTTACATATGGGGAAAACCACGAAAACACCCATGCAACCAGCCCGCTCGCGGGATTCGAACTTTGGGCAAAACTACCAGTGTTCAGCGACTTTACCGCTCGGCCGCTGGTGGGCGTATTTGTAACGGGAAAATGTCATTCATTCGTTATTTCTTTTATCAGTAGAAAGTATAGCTGGTGCTATCCTTCATAGTTCTGCTTGACATTTTTTAAACTAGTGAACAAATCCAAGGTTTGGTTTCTTCTAACATCCTTTTTAAGACAAAAGGAGGCGCACAAAAATAATTTTAAAAAGAAAACAAAATTAAAATTAGTTAAAATTTTCAATTAACAAGTTAGTTATCCTGAAATCATTTTCCCAGATGTTAAGTATACGTAACGCGAATATATAACCGTATATTTGGTTAGCCTTTATTTACTTTCAAGGTAAAGAAAAAATAAATCTTGATGTTTTGCTTCGTGTTCTATATTTCGTCGTGTATTCTAGACTCACAGTTTTTATTTCATTAGGGCAATCCAAGATGATAATTGTTTGGGATTCATTTAGAAATTTTTAATAGGATGTTTGTCGCAAAAATGCGTAAGCCAATCTCAATCTGCTAGAAGGTGGCAGTCACGCGGAGATCAAAAATAAAATGGCAAAATCGTTCTTTAAATACAGATGGACAATAAAAAGTTAAATGTACTGTTTCGTATTCATGTGCTATAGTGTGACAGGCTGTAACGGCAAAAATTCTTAAGTGTAACGAACAGTATATTATTTATTTCAACGAAGCTGTGTAATCATACTAAATGAAGGTAATACTTTTTGGTACTGAATTATTTTTTGAAAATGAATTTAACGCTGGATCATATATGTTTTGGTGACGAATTATTATATATGTAATTTAGTTTTATGCCAAAAATAATGCTCATTTTTCACAATATCGGAAGTTCGAAAGTATGACGGCAATATTGAAGATTTTAGCGAAGTAGTATTTATCACTTATAATTTGATAATGAATTTCTTAATAAAAATATTCTACTCTGTAACCATCCAGAAGTCCAATGATTCCCCCAAAATACTTCAGAAATGCCATGAGAAAAT